TGTAGACTAGGCTGGCCTCCTGCCTCTGCCTCCTGAGTGCTGGGATTAAAGGCGTGCGCCACCACTGCCCCACCCAGCTTCTCATTTTTATGTGTGTGTATGTGAGCCTGACTGTGCATAGAGGCCAGAAAATCAAAAAAGTGTTTATGAGGGGAAGAAATAAGAGGCTTTCAGGGGCTGATAGAACACATCATATGGGGGGGCTGGAGAGATGGCTCAGAGGTTAAGAGCACTGGCTGCTCTTCCAGAGATCCTGAGTTCAGTTCCCAGTTCACAACCATCCATAATGATATATCGTGCCCTCTTCTGGTGTGCAGGCCTACAGGCAGACAGAACACTGTATGCATAATAAATACATCTTTAGGGAAAAAAAAGAACACATCATTTGAAGGTGAAAGGAGCAATGCCAAGAGTAGGAAGGGTGAGGCCAACAAAAGCTAAGTATATGTGAAAAAGCAATAAGGAAATCCATTATCTTTTAAGATAATTAAAAAATAAAGGTCAGGCAGTGGTGGTGCACACCTTTGATCCCAGCACCCAGGAGGCAGTGGCAGGTGATATCTATGAATTCAAGGCCAGCCTGGTCTACAGAGCAAGTTCCCAGAAAGCCAAGGCTACACAGAGAAACTGTGTCTACACACACACAAACACACACACAAGAAACAGGGATTTTGCAGATGTAATGACTAAGCGAGTTTTCTTGACTCAAGTGAGTCCTTTTCCAGGGGCTGTGTCATCTTGGGGACAGAAACACCATGAGAAGAGATCACATGAAAAGCAGGGGTCAGAGTGCTGTGCCAGCAAAGGAACACCCAGGTCCACTGTCAACCACCCAAAGCTGGAGAGAGAAGGGAAGAGACGTCCCTCAGAGCCTCCAGAGAAAGCAGCCCCACTGACATTAGCACCATGGGAGAATACATCTGTGTTGTTTTAAACCACCTGTGTGTGGGTCTTTTTATAACACTCCTACCACACTAATGAAACTGGGAAGCAAACAGAGATTAAAGGCCTGTAGCAGTTACATTACACATGCCTTCCCACTCTCAAAAGCCCTAATGCCATTTAAGAAATCCATTTTAACAGTATGGAATTCAGGCTTCATGGACTTAGTCGGCTCCTAGTGGAAGATGCTGACATTGCCCCCAACTCTTGGCTTTCGACAGACTATTTTTAGTGTGTGTGTGTGTGTGTGTGTGTGTGTGTGTCCCAGCCTGTATTTGTAATGCTTGACTGTTTAAGTGGATAAATCAGAAGTAAATATGACAAAATGTTAACCACTGTTATGGATGACAGGCATGTAGGTGTTGTATTTACTGTAGGTTTTGGAATGTAAAATACTCTAATCAAAATTATATTCAAAAATCATTCAAACAGAATAAAGAAACGGTTCACTCAGCCTAAGTCACTCTGTGGAATTTCTTCTGATAACAGTCTTCAAGTGACATTCCTGCCAAAAAGCCTGTAATGATTCATAATGAAACTCATTATTTGGTATGCTAATGAAAAAAAAACTTTAAAAGAAAAAAGAAGCTGGGTTTGGTGGCTCATATCTGTAACCATAGCACTTGGGAAGCTGAGGCAAGGGATTACTTTAAGTTCTAGGTCAGCCTGATGGGCAAATGAGACCCTATCTTTAAAAACAAAACAACCAAAAGTATCCAATAACTGTTCCTCCGTGTGCGTGTGTGTGTTCGTCTGAAGAACAGCATGCAGAGGTTCTAGAACATTCACACTGTTAACAGGCCTCACACCACCTAGATGTGGAGACACTGCCATTCCCCAGTCCTCCCTTCTCCAGCTCCTGCTGGCCTCTGCTCTGCTTTCTGTCTGTGAGTTTAGCTGTTCTGGAAACTTCGTGTGAATGGAATCACTCAGAAAGGCCTCTTGTGGACAGCGTCTTTGAATTATCACTTTGGGGGTTCACCCACATTGTCACACCCGCTGGCTCCTCCTTCCTTCTTACAGCCGAGTGACAGCCGCCGTGCGGATGCGCCACACTCTGCCCACTCACTGTGGCGCTTCTCCGCTGTCTCTGCCCTCTGACTTTTATAACTTGTATGTTATGAAAGTTTACGATCAATTTGATTTGGTTTGGTTTTAGAAGTTTTGTTTTTAAAAGGTAGAGCCAAGTGGGAAGAAATGAGGCCTGTCCTTGAAGGGGATACTAGGAGGGCAGCCCTTTCCTGTTCTTCTCTTTGCTGGCTCCTGGGAGGTGAACAGCTTCACCCCACCACAATCTTCCTGCCCAGACGCTCTGCCCTGCTGTGGAATGCTTCCCCCTGACCACAGCAGCTATTATCATCTCCAACGGAGAAGCTGTGACTGCTCACAGGTGACCCTCAGGATCAGGCCTGTTCCCTTCCCTCACAAAGCCAGGTGAGGAGGAGGGTCACTGGATCACTGGACTCCCATCTGAGATCGCAGCCCCTTCCTCCCCACCCCCGTCTGTACCTGCTGGCAGCTGCACTAGGCTTGGAAGCACAGCTGAAGGGGAGACTCTGTGCAGCTATGAGGAAGTCACTACCCATGCTAGGATGAGATGCTCCAGGAATACAGCTGTTTTGGAGTCGTCTCCACTCCTGTAAGTAACTTCTCACCCATGAGCCTATAAGCCAAACAAACTCATTGAATCACAGAGGTAGACCTGGCTAGATCTGTCCCTTTGGTTGGCCACTGGTGCCTTGTCTGGGATAAGAAAGTATGTGTTTCGATCTCCCCAAGGAAAGTTCCTGTGACATTCACCACAGGCCCAGAAAGAACAGAGTGAGCTGACCATGGACTGATACCTCTGAAACCATGAGCCCAAACAAATCTGCCCTCTCCGTCTACACAGAACAGAGAACACGCCTCCAGAGCAGGTCTTTGCAGCCACCTCATCCGTGCTGTCTCGAGTTAGCAAGCACCTATTCTGCATGCATGCAGTTATCCCCCTCACCTGAGGGGCTGTCTTCCAAAACCACAGTGGGTGCTCAAAGCAGAAGACAACCGCAGCCCTACCTACGCTGTGCTTTTCTTTCTACACACACTTAGCACACAGTTTTGTTTACACATTAGACCCAGGAAGAGACTAACAGCAACAATAAGATAGATGGACCATAACAAAATTGCACTTCGAGGACATTGTCAAGGAAAATATAGGCACCTGGAACACAAGCATGGGTGACCGCGGCAGTCACTCTGACAAACGGGATGGGCTATTAGCATATGTTCACACAGATACACTGGACAAAGGGATGGTTAATGTCCTGGGTGGGGCAGAGCAGGACAGAGCCAAATTCATCATAATATCCAGAATGAGGCATGATTAAACATTGCTTACTTCTAGAATTTTCCATTTAAGGGTTTCGGGGGGGGGGTGTCAAATGAATGTCTATGAATTCTGAACTTTTTTTTCTTTTTTCTTTTTTTTTTTTTTTTTGGATTTTTCGAGACAGGGTTTCTCCGTAGCATTTTTTGGTTCCTGTCCTGGAACTAGCTCTTGTAGACCAGGCTGGCCTCAAACTCACAGAGATCTGCCTGCCTCTGCCTCCCGAGTGCTGGGATTAAAGTCGTGCGCCACCACCGCCCGGCTGAATTCTGAACTTTTTTTACATTTCCAAAGGCCAGCCTCTGATGGCATTTGCAGCTGGTAACATAATTATGGTGACATAGTCCTTGCAGATGCCAAAACGCCACAGGTTTCTGTGTACTGCTGATTGCGTAGCTGAAGTGAACGGGAGCATGTTGCCCGGGACTGAGTATCGGCACAGAGTGGTCCTGCGTTTGCTGCTTTCCTCTTTCCTCCCCCTGGAAACTCTTTTCTCATGGCCATCCCGCCTATGGTAATCCTCTTATCCACCCAGCAGATGGCAGGAGAGGGATGCCTAGCAAATCCTCCACCTGCCCTGCACCGCTGTCCACAGGCATTCTCAACCAGTCCTGACGTCCTCTCTACCCACGCTTTTTGAACTCTCAGGAACGCAGTTCATACCGACGGAGGTTCCTCTTAGATGAGGGAGGGTTGTTTCCTGAGGTACAATGAGGGCAACAGCCATGTGGAAGGAGACCTGGCAAAGGAGGATCACCGAGCAGAGGTTCTGGACTGAGCTTCCCTGCAGCCTGGCTGGCCACCACGGCAGAAGTAATAACCCTCCACCTGCTCTGTGACCCCACCTCGCTCTCTGTCTCCTCGAGAGGACTGGACATCTAGGTGTGGCAGTACAGGCCTGTGATCCCAGCACTCACAAGGTAGAAACAGAAGGAGTCACCCTCGGCTACATAGCAAGTTCAAAGCTAGCCTGCGCTACATAAAGCTCTATCTTAAAAAAAAATGCTAATGGTGAGGATGATGATAATACCACCATCGGGTAGGAGAGGCTCCTCCCAACCAGACAGCCCGACCTTTTCACTAGGCTCCTCGGGAAGTTTGAGGACAGAGACACAGGAAAGCAAGCACACAGACAGGATCTGGCTTCTGAAATGTGGAACGCGGCAGGTGTGCATTAGGGCACCGTTCTGCTGAATCCTCCTGAAACTTTACTTCTTCCTGGTATGGTGTGAAGATTTTTCAAAACATTTTCTTTTGCGAGGGGTGGAGGCAGAGACAGGGTTTCTCTGTGTACCCAGGGCTGTCCTGGAACTCGTTCTGTAGACCAGGCTGGCCTTGAACTCACAGAGATTCACCTGCCTCTGCCTCCCCGCGTGGTGTGCACCACCATGCCCGGCTCCAAAGCATTTTTTTTTCACGTGTACACTGCTATCAACAACGTCACCAAGGCCAGGTGCAGTGAGTGGACTGGGCCAGTTCCCAGATTCCATCTTCTCAGAGGACTCTGTGGCACAGGTGACGTAGAGGACCCCCTGCTCCTCTGAATCACCAGACAATGTTCATGCAACAGAACCTCTCTGAGTTCTGGAAACTCAACTCCTTTATTTTCACAGTTCCAAACTGTTCCAGGACTCTGGCTACTCGGCGTTGCGGCTTTGCCTCTTTGGGCCCTTCAACATCTGTGCCAACTATTTCTTATAGTAAAAATTCAATTTTGAGAGAGAAAGAGAGAGAAATGGGGTGGGCATGGCTCCCGAGCTGGTTGAAGCAGGGATGAAATTAGCAGACGCTGGCCCCTGCCTCCCAGCTATTCTCTTCCTACCATAAAGAACTTTAGAAGAGACGCTGATGGATTTTCTCCAGCCTCCCCATGTCTTAACTAACTCAAGCTCCATCGCTTACCAGCAGTGTGATCATGGCGATGTGATTTGACGAGTCCAGGCCTTGGTGCTTCTGGGAAATGTGGATTTGGGTTGTACCTATATCTCAAGGTTATGGTAAGAACAAATGAGACTGTGTGTGCCCAGGGCTTTCCATGAATACAGTACTTTATAAATGACAGAATTTAATGCCACACAGAATATGTAACAGTCAAAAAAAACTATTCATTTTTAAATGGTCAAAGATGGGGCTGGAAAGATGACTCAAGCAGTTAAGATCACTGGCTGCTCTTCCAGAGGACCCGGGTTCCATTCCCAGCCCCCACGTGGCAGCTCACAGTTCTATGGGATCAGACACCCTCTTTGGGTACCCACAGGCATCAGATATGAACATGCATGTAGGCAAAACACCAATAAACATAAAATAAAATAAATAACAAAGTTAAAAAATAATAGCAAAAGGCTAGGTGAGGTGGTGCACATAGTCTGAGCACTCAGAAGGCAGAGGCAGCTGTGTCTCTAGAGAGTTAGGGGCAAACCTGATATACCTAGTGAATTTCAGGCCAGTCACAGCAACACCGTGAAACCCTGTCTGATAAAAGTAAATAAAATTAAAGTGACCAAAGGACTTGAATAAACATTTCTCCAAGAAGAAATAAATATAAGCGGGCAATGAGCAGGGCTGGAAAGGGGGTGATGGCAACGCTGGTAACAATGAGCAGGGCTGGGGGGTGGCAACGCTGCTAACACGTTTACTATCCAAGCATGAGGACCTGAGTTCCGCCGCCAGCACCCTCAGGATTTTTTTAAGTGGCTGCGGGGTTGTGGTGGCAAGGTGGTGTGCATCTGTAATCCCAGAACCAGGAGGTGAGACAGGAAGATCAATTCCCCTGGGTTTTCTAGTCCATCAGTCAAGACAAATCAGCAGGCTTGAGGTTCAGAGAAGGATGCTGTCTGAGAGAAATCCGGTATAGAGTGACGGAGGACGATGTTCTGTCTGTACCGCTGGTTTCCACATACAGGAACACTATGGGCACACACAAGATGTGGGGGGCGTGGAGAAAGGAAGGAGAGACAGAGAGACAGAGGCAGAGGCTCTCAGAGAGGATCAACATCACATCTCAACAGGGAAATGCAAGTCAAAACCACAATGAAATGCTGCTTCCTACTTCCTGGCAAGGCTACCATTAAGAAACGCAGAGGACTTGGAGCTGTCGGGGTATAAAGGATTTGTGGTGCAGGGGTGCGGAGCAGTGTCTGGATCTCCAGAACCCACACAAAAGCCAGCAGGCATGGTGACCACAGGAACACTGGAATCACAGCATTTGGAGGCAGACAGGGGATCCCCAAAGCAAGCTGGCTAGATAAGCTAGTCAATCCAACAAGCTTCAGGTTCAGTGAGGCCCAGCCTGAGTAAATTCAGGAGAGTAACCAAGGAATCGACTCGGGGTCCACCCGACCTGCATGGACACACATACTTGGCCACACCACACACGGATACACACATGAGAAAACAGAAAAAGAAAGGGACGCTGGGAGTGTAGCTCGGCATAGGAGAGGCCGAGTCCCATCCCTAGCAGAGAAAGGAGAGGGAGGAGGGAGAATGTGGGACTTTGAACATCACCGGCAGATTTGGGAAAGTGTGCAGCCACTAGGGAAAACACTATGGAGTTCCTCAAATTAAGAGTAGATAGGACAGCAGGGTGGTTGTGGCCACACACCTTTAATCCAAGCACTTGGGAGGCAGAGGCAAGTGGATCTCCAAGTTTGAGGCCAGCCCGGTCTACAAAGGGAGATCCAGGATAGCCAGAGTTATTCCGAGACACCCTGTAGAGAAAGAAGAACAGCTATGACACAGCCATCCCAGCTCTGGATATTCATCCAGAAGAACTGAGAACAAGGTCCCGCTCCACTCTTGGGACGTACAGCAGTACCCCTTAGTGGGTTTCTCATCTGTGCAGACCTGTGTTCATTCACACCAGCGAACAGAAGGGAGTGCCTCAGATGTCCATCAACAGGCGGGTGCATAGAGACAGTGAGGCGTACAGACACAACCTAAGAGCCTGCAGGTTTTAAAACTAAGGAAATCCTGTCCTACAGCACATGGATGGAGCCATGAGTGCATTGTGCCAGTTACGGGACAGGATTGCACTTACACGAAGGATACAAAGAAACAGCCAAAGGGGGGGGGGGGGCTTCCTCCCCTCCCCCTTCCCTCCCGAGAGCCTGAACAGCACAGGAATCAGGAACAGAGGAAGGCATCCTTTCCTTCTACCACACTCCCTGTTGTTCACGGTTTATTTACTGGATAAATGTTTGTCCAGGATCTATTGTCTGCTAAGCCCAGGGTTGGCTCCGGAAACAACATGGTAAGAAAGGCAGAATGCTGCCCTCCAGTCACCTACTTCCTAGTCAACAAAGTGACTTCCGGAAGTGCAGCTGTCATGCTGAAGAAAAACAGATCTGCCCAGATCAAGGAAGACTTGACGTGAGAAATACCAAGCCAGGAGCAATGCTAACTCTGACGGAGGAAACACATACGAAGCTCAGAGACAGAGGACAGTTCACCATGTCTAAGGAAGAAAGACCAGCATGGCTCAAGGAGAGACATGGGAGCAGCGAGAAATGTGGCCTTAACAGACCTCCCCGGCCACTGTAGGTGAGAAGGGAAAATGTCGGTAACGTAAGGGATTATCCTGTGGGAAAATCTCAGCTCTGAACAGCAGGACTTCAGGGAAGGATAGGCTCAGACAGCCCCACGGTCTCACTCCAGGTTTGTCTTGTGCCTCCTGTGAGCCCTAATCTGAGGTTTCTCGGAGTTGGGCATGTGCTTGGACCACCTAGTCGTATATAACAGACTCCTGAGCTGGCCCAGTTTGAGCGGGTAGATCTGGGCAGGGCCCGGAGTTTGCACATCACACTCATACCAATACGCTGCTGATACCAACCGTTCTTCACCACACAGATGACGCTGGTAGCAAGTCTGAGATCCTTCCAGAATGTCTCTTCTGTAAAGGTGTCCTTCTGTCCTGGTGGGCATGGTTACCAAACGAGAGGAAATATGTCTGGGAAAGTTGTGTATGGATGGGGGCGGGAGCGCTATCTTCCTGTGTATAGTTCTGGCTGGCCTTGAACTCACTATGTAGCCCAGGCTGGCCTCACAGCCTACAGGGATCCTCCAGCTTTTGCTTACTAAGTGGTGGGATGGCAGGCATGTGCCACTATGCCCGCCGGGAAAGCCTTTCAAGAAAGGAAAAAGACAAACACATAGAATTACCACCTTCGCAATGCGCCCCTCCGTCTGCTTCCTTCATGGTTTATAAGAATTGTTCTCATCTAAGAGGAGCAGCTGACGGCTTAGGAACAAGGGCGGTTTTATGTCACTTATCCTAACTCCGATTCTTTGTGAACAAGTGAGCAGCTGTTTGCCCACTAGGCTAGGACGACAACTATCCTGCCCTGCCCTGGAGAAGCATTTCCTTACAACCACCTCTATTGCCCTCCTCACCAGTAGAGCTCGATGTTGCCTGCGAAGACCCAGGGTTATTTTTGTCGACCATCATTTCATCCCACTCCTCCCAAACAAAGCTCTCCTGTGAGTCATCTGGGGAACCCGGAGGCACGTGATGGCTGCTCAGCTGGTATCTGGCCATTCAGGAGGGGAGTATTAAGATTCCCTTGCGCTCAGTTGGAAAAACAACACAAACTCGTAAGCTGCTCAACATTCAAGAATCTAGAACATACATCTATGATAAATGCTTAGTAGGTGTATGTCTGTTTATATTCACAAATTCAGTAAATATTTGGGGACTATGTACCAGACACTGTCTTAGTTTCTACACACACAACAGTGTACAAAACCACACAGCCGCCCTTCCGTGGGGTTTGTCTTGGAACACACAGCAGCACCCCATCTTCAAGGCTTTGCTTTCCATAGTCTCAGCTACCTAGTGTTGACTACAGTCCAAAAAAGTATTAAAGGGAAAAGCCTAGAAACAGTGGATGCATTTTAAACTGCACGCTGTTCTGAATGTCATGAAATCTAGGCTGGCCTTATGTGAGTTCTCCCTTTATCCGGAGTATCCGCGCAGTATATGCTCTCCATCTGGTAATCTCTTAATGGCTGTCTGGGTTATCAGACTGAAAAATAAAACAACCCATATCTAATGGACTCAATACTTTGTAGACATCTACTCTAGGTCTTAGATGTGTTCCCAGTGGGTGAGGAGGAGCAGTGATTTTTGAATGTGTAATTGTGGGTCAGGTGTTGGCAGAGGAGACAGCCATGTAATCAGATAGGTGAAATTAAATATAACAGGGATTTGGTGGAGGTGAATATGCACCGGGGTACGATAGGCATGAAGAAGGAAGAGTCCTAAGCAGGCAAGCCAATTAGGTATTCAATTGTGGGTGTCATTTTCCAGGTCACTAAGGGGAAGCTGTTGTGGGTTGAAACTAAACTCCACAAAATTCATGCGTTTAGGGGCCCTAACATGTGACCTTTCTCGGTTCTCCTTTCCTTTGGACTTCGGAAGTCTAGGTCATATTTGCCCCACTAGTTCATTTTGAAAACGTGTAATGCATGGTCTAGTTTCATAGTTGGAGAGAAACTTTCGCTCAGGAAGATCCATACTTGGAGTTTATCCAACACACGATTTAGGTGAGCTATTGGGAGTTTATCCAACACACGATTTAGATGAGATATTGAACTTAAAGCTGATACAGGAAAGAGTTAGGATATCTGTGGTTGTGAGAATGGGCTGAATATATTTGCCTGTGACAATTACATTTTGGGAGGTCAGGAGGAGGCACATTACACAGGCTGAACAGAGGTCCCCCAAAAGTTACACGTTGCCGTCCAATCCCTAGAACCTACCTAAGATTATGAGTGTCTTTAAGGACGTAATCATGCTAAAATGAGGTCACTGGTAAGGGTGGGAACCTTATGAAGAGGACAACAGGAGACAAAGACACAACGGGAGGTCTATGTGAAGACAAAGGAGAAAACATCCACCTACAAGTCAACCAGAGAATCCTTGGAGGAAGGACCAAAGCCAACTCCTTGATCTTGACTCCTGGCCTCCAGAATTATTGAAAACTAATTCTCAATTCTTGTCACCTAGTCTGTGGCACTTTATCAGCCCTAATAAACCAATGGAGTGTTCTAATTTCATTTCTATTGATATGAGAAAACTTCCTGACGAAAAGCAACTAAGGAGAGAAAGGGTTGACAACTCAGAACCCATTGCAACAGAGCAGAAGTTAAGGACCAACACATCACACCCACCTTCTGAAACAGAGAAAAAAGTATACCCACGTCGCCTGCTTCCTCTCATCTACTCTCCTGTCCTACGTCATTCAGGACCCCTGCCTAGGAAACCTATCTTCAGGACCCCTGCCTAGGAAACCTGTCGTGGGCTCTCTTCCTAATCAGTTAACAAACAAGTCAATCCCCCTGCCCCCAGACAAATCTGATAAAGGCACTCAAGTGCAGTTCCCTCCCCAGGTGTTTCTAATTCGTGGCAAGCTGACATTTAAAACTAACCTTCACAAGAGGCTTTCTGTGGAAAGGAAGCAGCCTGACATGCTGGGCACACCAAGCACCGCAAGTGTCCTGAGGACATGGAGTGTACCATGCATGGGATGGAGAGGAGGCTGGAGAAGTGGGAAGGAGTTTGGCTGTGAAGGAACTCCAATGATGAGGATTTGGGCTTAATTTTTATTCACGGTATCCAGGTGTTGAAAGGCTGAAGTCAAGAGAATTACAGTGCTGTGCAACAGAAGGCCATTCTAGACCATTCTAGGACTGTACAGCTAAGGGAGATGGGATTATACTTATAACATAGGTTATGTCTATGAGATGTTAAATGATACAGCCTTGTACTAAACAAGGATTGCCTGGATGGAGGGGCAGAGTCCCACAGAGAGGCAGAGAATGTAGATCTGACAGGTCTTGGCTCCCCTTTAAAATCCTGGGGGAAGGGAAACAAGATACAAGTCAGGAGAACACTGCTTCCATTCCACACAAATGGAGTCAGAGGCGGATGCATGTTGCCAAAGGACAGGAATGTGCACCAACTAAACAGTCAAGGACCAGCCCACAAGAGGGCAACTGAGCCCAACAGTGTTAATTTTGTGGTCTGAATAAGAACGGCCCCTTAGGCTTGTAAGTGTGAATACTTGATCCCCAGTAAAAACCATTTGGGAAGGATTAGGAGGTGTGGCCTTGATGGAGGTGTGTCACTAGTAGTAGCTTTGAGTTTTGAAAGATTTGCACCATTCCCAGTGTGTGTGTGTGTGTGTGTGTGTGTGTGTGTGTTTCTCTCTGCCTTCTACTTGTCGATCATGATGTTAACTCTCAGCTGTTCGTGCCACCGTGCCTTTGCTCTGCCACCATGGACGCCAACCCTCTGAAACCATAAACCCAATTAAACACTTCTTTTTATAAGTTGTCTTGGCCATGGTGTTCTGCCACAATCGGAAAGGAACTAAGACAGGTGTCCTAGAATGGGGAGATGGCCACAGACAGGTCAGAAGGGCCAGATGGCATTTGGAGGAGGAAGAAAATCTCTGGAGAAGTGACGTGAAAGGAAAAAGGTACCAAATACAGGTTTTCCATTACTGCATCATGGAAGCCAAGGGTAGAAAATTCCAGACAGGAAGGAGCAGCAACAGTGGTAAATGCTGCAGACCAACCAATATGGGGTCTTGAAAATTGGGGTTCTCAGAGTAAATTGAGCCTCTCTTGATAAATAGGTCAACTTGAAAATAAGTCAAGTATGGTGGTGCATACCTTTAATCTCAGTACTTGAGGCAGAGGCAGGTGGATCTGTGTTAGTTCAAGACCAACCTGCTATATACATATTGAGTTCCAGATTAGTCTGGATCTCTCTCTCTCTCTCTCTCTCTGCTCTGTCAGTGTCTCTGTCTCTCTCTCACACACACACCTTCCCCCTCCAAGATACCATAAGCAAGGGCACACCAAGCACTCTGATGGGCATGGGGGACACCACAAGGAACCAAGACGAACAGGATCTGGCCCTCAGGGAGGTGACATTCTTGTAGAAGTGGAGTATAAGGACAGGTAAACAAACCAAACACAGATACAACCAACTGCTAACCAAAAATGGGGGGAGAGGGGATTCCATCTGTACTGAACATATGCAGACGTTTCTTTATCATTATTCCCTAAACAACGCAGCATGACAACTCTTTACAGAATTTACATGGCATTAGGTATTACATGTAATCTAGCGATGACTAAAAGTACTGGAAGGGTAGGCATGGGTTATAAGCAAATACTATGTCATTTTCTAAAAACAAACTTCTTGAGCACTGGAGGATTTTGGTTCCTGTCGACAGTTGTAGACTCTGCTCTGTAGACACCAGGGGATAGTTTTACACAAACACGTACCCCTGTTGAGTCTTGTCCTCTGACAAACCTAACACAGTTGCAGATGGCAGAGTCTCATATGGAACCACAAGCACAAAAGGGAAGTGGGAGGTTAGCCAGACCATAGCAAATGACACATGGAACCGGCCACAGGGATGGCTGCTCTGGGGGGGGGGGGGGGGGGCAAGGCTCGCTCCACCTCTCATCCCCACTGTTCCGGGAATGCCGGCTTCCTTCTCTCCTTCACAGTCAGGCCTCTTCACACAGCATGGAAGATCATCATCCTGGAGCTTATGGCTCCCAGAGCCTTTAGCTCATCAGTCTGAGAGCCTAGGAGAAGCCTGTGGTGAGAGAGGCAATGAAGAACTGGACCGCACACTGTGAGGACCTACAGGTCCCTCAAGACTGGAGTCAGCAGGCAGAGCCCAGCAGAGTTCAATGCAAGTCTGAGAGCCAGCAGGTTCAACATGCAAGGGCTGACGTTTGGGTTTAGAGGACAGAGCCAGAGGAAGATCAATGTCTCAGCTCAAGCATGCAGGCATGTTTTCCTTACTAAGCCTTCGGGTTCCACTCAGCCCCTGGACTGGCTTAGGTCCACTTGCATTATCGAGCTGAGGCTCCAATGTTCACCTCACCCCAAATCACCTCACAGTTGGTCAGCTTCCTACAGCTGTCACGGGATACCTAAGAGAAAGAGCTTTCTGATTTTTGTTTGTTTGCTATTTGGTTATGGTTTTTTTTTTTTAAATTAAGTCTGAAATATCACTAAAATACTGATGTGTAGGGGGTTTTACATTTCAAATCCCAGTTCGTAAGTCTGCTTCTGTTCTATTTACTTGATGTGTAAAAAGCTGAACTTCAAAACTTCAACAGTATGTCAGAAGATGATGCGCTGATGTTTGAAGAACGAGCTGTATCCGAAGGCTGGGACAGTCCACGGACATGCCGACGACGAAACACATAGAAAGACGGGCGACTCCTTAAGGCGTCAAACGTCTTACTCCTTAGTTCTGAAGTGGCATCCCTGTCCTTAAACTCCCCTGCCGTATGAACGACGCCATAACAGGTAACCACAAAGGCCAACAGCGTCTGCAGAACGATGTCCGCCGGCAGCGACTCACTCCCCTCTTCCGTTAGTCGCGCGTGCGAATGATGCTGCGCAGCCGAAAAGGCAGCGTGGGCCAGCGCGAAGAGGCCGATGCCTATCAGCCCCTTCCACAGCCACGGCACCATGGTTCAGAAGGAGCGGTAGTCCCAAAGATAGTCTTCCACACCGGGATAAATATCTTAGAGACAGGAAAGATTGGTCCTGGCCCACGGTTTCAAAGTTTCCGTGCCCACTGGGCCTCGTGGCTTCAGGCTTGTAGCGGAATCATGACAGGAGCACTTAGAACAGGGTGTTCAGCTCACGGCCACTAGGAAGCAAAGAGAGACAAAGGATCAAGGACATACCCCCAGTGACTGAACCTCTCCGCTAGGCCCACCTCTTTTCCTCTTTCTGTGTCTCATGGTGTAGCCCAGGTTGACCTCACACTTATAGAAATCCTCCTGCCTCAGCTTCTTGGGTACTGAGAATATAAATATTGCACCACCACATCCTGCTGGTCCTGCCTCTGAAATGTTTTCCCACTTCTCAATGGTGCCATAGGCTGCAACCAAGCCTTTAACACACGAGTCTTGCAGGAAACACTGCAGACCCAACTGGGGCACAGAAATAGAACAAATATTTGGATATCCTGTGGCTCAATCAAGTCAACCAACTTGATGATATAACTGGATCACAAAGAGCAGGAAGGGCCCCTTAGTGGCAAGCTTGGAGTCGACATTAGGCTAACCTCTGGGACAAAGAGAACTTGCATGCTTCCCCACCCCCTCTTTGGTTGTTGGAAACAGGGTTTTTCTGTGTAGCTCTGGCTGTCCTGGAACTCACTCTGTAGACCAGGTCAATCTCGAACTCACAGATTTGCCTGCCTCTGCCTCCTGAGTACTGGGATTAAAGGCAAGCGCCACCACACCCGGCTCTGGCTTGCTTCTCCTAAGCATAAGGCTACTTATGTCAAAACAGGTTAGAGGGAATCTACTTCTTTATTTTTAGTTGCGGGGGCAAATTATTCAGAGATGAGATACACTTTTGTGACACCTACTGACTAAAAACAAAAGCTCCCTCTTTTCCAACGTATCTGCAAGCCAGACAGAGTGGCTCGTGCCTCTAATCCCAGCACCTGTGACTCCTAGCACCTATGGTGGTCACAACTCTAGCCTGGGGGATCCGACACCCTCTTCTGGCCCCTGAGAATACCAGGCATGCATGTGATGCACAGACATTCATGCAGGAAAACCATGACAAACTAAAACTCCAGTTTCCAGGGGATCTGATGCCTTCTCTGGGCCTCCACAGGCACCAGGCATACATGTGGTACTTAGGCATGCATGCAGGCAAAACACCATACACATAAATCTTAAGACAAACATTGTTGTTCTTTTTGGTTTTGTTCTGTTTTCAAAACAGAGATTCCCTACGTAGCCCTGTTTGTTCTGGAACTCTGTAGATCAGGCTGGCCTTGAACTCAGAGATCTGCCTGCCTCTACCTCTTTTACCTCCTTGGGTTTTTTGTTTGTTTTTCAAGATAGGGTTTCTCTGTAGCTTCACAGCCTGTCCTGGAATTAGCTCTTGTAGACCAGGCTGGCGTCAAACTCACAGAGATACAACCTGCCTCTGCCTCCCAAGTGCTGGGATTAAAGACGTGCACCACCAGTCCGGCCACCCAGCTTGTTTTTACGAACTATAGAAATGATCCCTGAAAGTATAGTCTTCCAGCTTGTTTTTACGAACTATAGAAATGATCCCTGAAAGTATAGTCTTCCAGCTTGTTTTTAAGCCAGATTCAGTAGCACACATTGTAGTCCCAGCACTCCAGTGGCAAGATGGAAGCCTGTAAGCCTGGGGGCCAGCTAGCCTAGAATACACAAAAGGATGAAAGATGTGAGACCCACACCTCGACAAAGTGGAAAGAGAATCAGCTCCCAAAAGTTGTCCTCTGACTTCCATAAGTATTCTGTAACACATGTAACCAGCACACACATAAATAGTGATATTTTATTTGTTTTAATAAATCTTGCTTGAAGGCCAGAGGCAAAGCTAAAGCCACGAGAGGTCAGGTAATGGTGACACACACCTTTAATTTCAGAATTTGGGAGACAGAGTCAGACGGATCTCTGTGAGTTCAAGGCCACCCTAGGCTACACAATCTCCACACAGAAACAAATCCAGGTGGGGTGGCTCACACCTTTAATCCCAGCTCTATAGGAAACATAAAATGGGGAGAGAGGCTTAGTCTGCTTAGTCTGCAGTTACCCAGTCTTGGGAGAGGAAAGACTTCTCTAGTGGCTTGGCTATTTTGCTTTTCTGTCTCTGGGTTTTTATTATTCGTGCTACACACATACACATCACATGCACACAGTAATACAAAAAAAATTTTTTTCAATGCCACCTATATTTGCAGTGGATGGCAGCTGCCCCAGATGCTGACTCGGGACCCAGACCCCAACTGTGGCTCTCCCACAGTCCCTAGCTATCATCTCTATCTTGTCAGAAGAAAGGGAGAGAATCCTCAGAGGGGCGTGGCACACTTCATTTCAGGTAATACAGCATTGGTAAGAACCAGTCACATGGTGACGCTGCAAAGGAGGTTGGGATACGTACTGGTCTCGCACGGGAATGAAACTCTCAATTCTGCGTCAGGCTTTTTTTTTTTTTATTTTGCCTATATATATGTATGTGAACTTCGTGTATGCTCCTGTGGAGAGCAGAAGGTGGTGTCAGATACTCTGGAACTAGAGTGACAGATGGCCTTGAGGCACCATGGAGGTGCTGGGAACTGAACCTGGGTCCTCTGAAAGAGCAACAAGTGTTCTTAACTGCATGGTCAACTCTGCAGCACCCATATCACGGCTTTTTAATTTTGACACCACTGACGTGTTAGATTGTATGATTCCTCTTTATTTTTTATCTTATTTTAGAGAGAGAAGGGTGTACAGTGCGGAGCTGGATACTGAATAACACCTCTGGCTTCTACACATCTGATGCCAACAGTATCCCAGCCCCAGTAAAAAAAATGTATTTTCAATCAGGCAAGATGCCACATACCTTTAATCCCAGCACCGAGGAGACAGAAGCAGGTGGATCTCTGTGAGTTCATAGCCAGCCTGGTCTACATAGTGAGTTCCAGGACAGCCAGGGTTATATAGACAGACCCTATTTCAAAAAAGAAGTCTCGCCACACAGATATCATAGCAGCACACATAAATAAATAAATGTAACAACGTTTTAATGTCTCTAAGAATTAGAAAATGTAACTGGAGTTACAGAAGGTTGTGAGGCACTTATGGGCTCTGGGAACAGAACTGAGATCTCTGCAAGAACATCAAGAGCTCTAACAGCTGAGCCAGCTCTCCAGCCCCACACCTGATGGCTACAATCCCGTGTCCACTCTTCTCTACAAACAGGGCAAAAACTCCAGCTTTACGACCTTTTCACTTGCTATTAATGAGTTTGGAAACCTTGGGCACAAACTCCCCCCAACACAACCAAGGACAATTGCTCTAGATAAGAAACAGTCAGGATATCTGTCGGCTAGATATGAAATGTAACGAAACAGCATGCTCGGTTTATCACTTACAAAGCTCAGGGGATGGCTGGCAGTTTGTGCTCACAAAGTGACTGACGGAACAGCGGAGTGCTGAGCGAGAATCCAGAGAGAGTGCCTGGTGTTTCCTAGAATATGAGGATAATCTCCGGAGACACCGCGCTGCCTCCTTTGCAATTTAGTGTGACCATGTGACAACCACGAAGTGACCTGAAGGGATGTGTGCCACTCCTTGCTAAGGTTTCTAAGATTTCTCTTCCCCTGTGACTGGAAGTAAGCCGCCTTTGTTTGCTTATTTTGTGAAGAACAGACTTCCTGAGCTAATTGTTGCAGAGTCCCTGACATTTCTGCACAGAGACAAGAGTCGTTTTTTTAAATAATTTGCCTAATGTAAGACAATATTGGTCAGCACCAGGGCAATTTTTGTTTTTTTCAAGGGTGATGAAATGGATTCTCAGGAAGGACAGTATTTCCAGGAAATGCACTAACTGGTGAGGATTCCTCAGGAAGGGGTAAGAGCCAGCCAAGTCTTGGGCTGCCGACAGTTTGTTTTGTCTCCTAGACTCCTACCCGCGGTGTGCTGCTCTCCTAGACTCCCACCCGCGGTGTGCTGCTCTCCTAGACTCCTACCCGCGGTGTGCTGCTTTCCTAAGCAGCTTTCCTGGCTGTAGCGGATGGGGCATTCCTTCACACTCCATGGAAAGCGTGGAGACAAGTGTCTGGGTTTGAGATAAGTGTCTGGGTTTGGTTTGTAGTCCAATGAACTCCAGGTTTGCAGACAGCTACCAATATGAAGTATTAGTCTCTGTACTCAGAAAAAAACACAAGGATCTAGAAACTAAGTAAAGGTGGTTATTGGAAACAACTTGATTGTGAGGAAATGCAAGATGTTAACAACAAAGATGAATCTGAAACACGACTGAGAAAAATAATCTAGCTGCTGGGGTTTCTGTGAGATAAGGATTCACGTGTCAGTCCTCGTGTGTCCATGCTGCGTGGAACAATTTGGATCTGAATAAGAGAATTTTTTTTTTTTTTGGATTTTCGAGACAGGGTTTCTCCATAGTTTTTGGTTCCTGTCCTGGAACTAGCTCTTGTAGACCGAGCTGGCCTCGAACTCACAGAGATCCGCCTGCCTCTGCCTCCCGAGTGCTGGGATTAAAGGCGTGCGCCACCACCGCCCGGCATAAGAATCTTTTTTTTTCCAGATAGCCCTCATTTTATTGTTATTTTTTAGACAGAGTCTCACTGTGTAACCGCAGGCTGGTCTGAACTTGCTCTGTAGGCCGGCATAAGAATTTTTTTTTAATATTTATTTGTTTATTATGTATACAGTATTCTTCCTGCAGGCCTCATTACGGATGGTTGTGAGCCACCATGTGGTTGCTGGGAATTGAACTCAGGACCTTTGGAAGAGCAGGCAATGCTCTTAACCGCTGAGCCATCTCTCCAGCCCGGGCATAAGAATTTTTAAAAGATTTTTTAATTATGTGTTTGGGGGCAGGTTTGTGTATGCAAGTGCAGTGCCTGCAGAGGCCAGAAGAGGGCATCCAATTCCCAGGAACTGGAGTTACAGGTGTCTGTGAGCCACCATGTTCTTTTCAGGGGGCCTAGGCAAGAACAAGTACTCTTAACTGCTGAGCCTTTGCTCCAGTCCAACAATGGATGACTTACAGCCCCACACGTATAAACCTCTACAGACAGGCCTGAAAACACCTGTCTTTATTACTTTCTTGTTTGGTTTTTCGAGACAAGGTTTCTCTGAGTAACAGCCTTGGCTACCCTGGAACTCTCGGAGAGCACCTGCCTCTGCCTCCCAAATGTTGGCCTCCCATTTTTATAAGACTGAAGCAATACAAAAAGAAAATCATTTATATTACAAAGTATTATGAATCTGCTCACTAATTAATTTGATTGGTCTTGCTGTGTCCTGACATATTTTTTACAATTTAAAATTTTTTTCACCATGCATGACTAGATGACATTTTTATGTAGATGCTTGTCAGCTGACTTAGGTTAGCTGTTGTGAATTAGTTGTGGGTTTTTTGTTTGCTTTGGGTTTTGGTGGTGGTGGTGGTGGTTGGTTGGTTGTTTAGAGACAGGGTCTCACTATAGAGCTCTGGTTGTCCTAGAACTCTATGAAGACCAGGCTACAAATGCACAGAGATCCACCTGTCTCTGTCTCCTGAGTGCTGGAACTGAAGGTGTATGCCACTATGCCTGGCAAGTTCTGCTGTTTTAACCTATCAAAAATGTGGTACTTTGTTACAGCCCTGACCTCAAACAACAACCCAAGAGACACAGGTAAGAATTAGAGTTACTCAAGAGAAAAGGAAATAGGCGGGTGTACGAAGGGGTAGTCAAGGCTCAGGTTGGCTTAGCTAGTGCTACTGTAACAAGCCCTCAGGATGGGTGGTAGAAGAACAGGAATTTAAACCCTCAGTTCTGAAGGATGAAAGCTAAGGGCTACCATGTGGAGTTCTAGTAAGGATCCTTCTCAGCTTCTAGCAGCTTCCTCCTTGCTATGTTTGAAATGGCCTTTCCTTAGGAACAGGAGGGGACACAGCAAGCTCTCAGGTCTCAAGACTCAGACCTGTAGACTTCACCTAAAGCTAATTACTTTCCAAAAGCCAGGCCCTAAATAGCATCACAATAGGGGCTAAAGCTTCGGCCTGTGACAGCTGAGAGGAAGCTTTCCATTCCAGGCCCACAAAGTTTCTTTCTGAAGAGATTAATTGCTCAGCGATTCAGAGCACTGCTACTCCCCCAGAAGACCCAGGTTTGATCCCCAGCCCCCATACAGCAGCTCACAACAGTCTATAACTCCAGTTCTAGCGATCCACGCCACTGATTTGCAAGGCACCTGCACACAGGTGCACACACCCACTTGCAGGCATGCACACCTACATAGCTGGGCAGTGGTGGCACACACCTTTAATCCCAGCACTCAGGAGGAAGAAGTAAGTAGATCTCTGTGAGTTCAAGGCCAGCCTGGTCAACAAAGTAAGTTCCAGAACAGCCAGAGTGGTTACACAGAGAAACCCAAAAAAGCAAACAAAGAAAAAACAAATAGTTAAAATTAAAAATAAATCTTTTCTATTAAAAAGAAAAAGTCAGAGCAATGCTCTTCACAAGAGCGAAAACGCATGAACAAACTGAGCAGCACCAGCAACAGAGTGGACAGATAGGCAAGGAAAGCCCGTGCGATGGGGCCTTACAAGGTAAGCGTGTGTGATGGGCCTTACCAGGTAAGCACAAGGGGTCCACGCTGACACATCCTGACACACCACAATGCAGAGCTCTACTGATACACCAGTGCATGCAAAGTTGCCACATGAAAAATTCATACAGCAAGATAGATTTTTTGTTTTTCGAGACAAGGTTTCTCTATGCAACAGTCTGTCCTGAATTTGCTTTGTAGACCAGGCTGGCCTCAAACTCACTGAGATCCTCCTGCCTCTGCCTCCCAAGTGCTGGGACTAAAGGCGTGCGCCACCACCACCAAGATGAATTTTTATAAAGTTAAAATTAACCTAAAGCAAGAACAGATATCCTTTAGAAACACACTGAATGCAAAACTGCCAGAAGGATGAAGAAACCACTGGGCCAGGGGCACAGGCCCCCCATCCCAGAGGTTCAAGGTCCACCTGAGCCACAGAGGAGGTCAAGGCCAGTCTGAGCAATTTAGGAAAATACCACCTCAAAATAGAAGTGTACATAGGAGCCTGGGGCTGTAACTCGGGGGCAGAGCGCCTACCCAGAAAGCACTGGGCCCTAGGCTCGACCAAGCACCACAAACGAACAACCAAACAGAAATGGGGAGGGGATGAAAGGAGATAGAGCGAGACCAGACGAGCTGGGAATGCGTGAAGTTTTCCCCTTGAGTAAATCTAAAATAACACACAAGGGAAAAAACAAAGATTGATAAACGCCGGATTCAGGGTGTGGGTTATTCAAGCAGCAGGAGGCAGAATCTTGGGATGGAAGAGACACCTACAATTCCATGCCAGCTCCTGCCAAGTATTAGCTAACTTTCTGTTACGAGCAAAATATACCCTGTTAATCAACTTACAAAGATGAACGGTGTTTGGTGGGGGGGCTCATAATTTTGGAGGTTGAGATCCCAGCCCATGGTCGATGGCACCACTGTTTTCTGCATCTATTTTACGTGTGGGGGTGTTTTGCCTGCATGTGTATCTGTGCACCACTTGATGCCCTCAGAAGCCAGGAGAGGGTATCAGGTCCCTGGGGACTGGAGTTATAGACAGTTGTGAGCAGCCATGTGGATGCTGGAGACCGAACTGGGATCATCTATAAGAGCATCCACTTAACCACTGAGCCACCACTCCAGCCCCTCCACAGCTTTGGAGTCTGTGACAAGGCAGCATATCTCGGCAGGAGTAGAGGCAGCTGGGAAATGAGAGAAAGCAGTTTAAAAAAAAAAAAAGGTGTGGGGAGGGGAATCCTTCAAGGGCATGCCCACAATGACCTAATACTTCCCAGCAGGCCTCGTCGATTACAGGGTCCACCACCTCCCAAGAGAGCCAAGCCTGGGACGAAGCATTTAGCAGACATCCCAGGCCCAAATGATACCATCCCATATCTGCTGTGGCTCAGTTTTGTTCTGGAGGGTGAGTTTATGAGTTCCTATTATAGAACAAACAAAATAACTAGATTAAAGCAGGCCATGCGTGGAACAATGAAAAACCAATTAGCAGAAAGGAGAGCATGAAGTCACTGTCCACAGCTCCTGGGTGTGTGCCTCTGGCTCTGTGCGGAGGCAGCACAGACTGGAGACGTGGCTGCTAGCTCTCCTGTCCTTCCCTGGCTCGCCCTCCCTGGAGGGCCGTTTCTTTCATCAGCATCTCTGATCATCGACTGCAGACTGACCAGCACAAGTCTGGGTGAAGTATTCTCAGACTTGTAGACTCCTGATTAAAAGAGGCGCTGGATGCTTAGGATGTCACATAACCGGTTGGCTTGGACTACCCAAACTTCCGCCAACAAACAGAAGTTGACATCTGTCCCTGGCATATGCATTTGTTTAGGGACTGTGGTGGTTAATGCTAACCGTCAACTTGCCAGCATTTAAACTCACCGAGGAGACAAAGCTCTGGGCGTGTCTGAGAAAGTTTCTAGACTGGGTTAACACAGAGGTTGGAAGATCCATCCTAAATGTGAGTGAAACCATTCCATGGGCAGAAGGCCTAGACTGAATAAAAAGAAGGAAAAAAAAAATGTCTGTTGGACAGTGGTAGCATATCTTTAATCTCGGTCGGTACCCAGAAGGCAGAGGCAGGCGAATCTCTGAATCAAGGCCAGCCTGGTCTAAAGAGCAAGTTCCAGGACATTCGGGGCTGCACAGGGAAACCCTGGCTCAAAAAGAAAAAATTGTATTTTTAGATAGAGTCTCTCTGTTATGCAGCTCTGGCTGACCTGGAACTCAGAGAGACTGGCCGGCCTTTGCCTCTGCCTCCCGAGTGTGGGATTAAGGACATATACTGTCACACCCAGCCAAAAATCTAAGGAAAAAAATAAAGAAAAGACAAAGAAATCAAGTGAAGTACCAATGTCTATCTGCTTCCCGACTGCAGATGTGATGCGACCTTACACTGCTACGACTTTGCCGCCATGATAGACAGTGAGTCAAAATGATCCCTTCCTTCATCAAACTGCCTGTGCCAGGCACCGTGTCACAGCAAGGAGAAAAACAACAAATACCGGGCGCTAAAGCATTTTACCTACCGAAAGAAGGTACCGGGTGGCACCAGGTGCCAGAAACGTGATAGAGAAATGACTGGGCGACTGTGGACAGACACCCCAGAAAGGCCATGACTGGATTACCATGGCCACCCTAGAAAAGAGACAAGACTTCCTCTGAAGAGAAAATGAACCTGTCAAAGAAAAAAAGTTCAATACTTGTAAAAGCAGCACAAAGAGAGCCTTATTCAAGATCACGTCCCCAAACTGGAGAGCAGGACAACAGACTTTCAGTGCAGAGAGAGATGGAGCTCAACCCCGAGGACAGCACAGACAGGCGAGGGTAAGGGCCAGCGGATGGAAAATTCCCAAGAGGAAACAGGAAAAGTGAGAGGGAGTCTGGCTAAACTGACCTGACAGGATTCTTACTGATGACGACAAGCCGGCATGAACAAGCACCGCCTGCGACTTGGTGCGAAATGAAAAAGACTGATCGTAGGCGCAATCTCATAATGAAGACACAGGGTTCTGGACAAATGACCTGGGCAGAGTTCTTTGCTAAAACTGGACTCTACCAGGAAATACACAGATGGGCCTAGGGCAGAGTTCAAACTAAAGAGACTGACTAACATTTGATCAAGCAGAAGATCGTTGACAAGAGAACAGAACCCTCTGTTGTACAGAGGCGGAGGGACTGATGTCCACTGAAGGTCGGTCCTAACGTCCTCATAGCCCAGAAAGGACCGTGAGACTGAAGAGTCAAGCTCACACTTCTTCTCCGACAGCCCAGTTCCTCTAGCGCTAGTGTGGTCCCTGACCCGAGCTGACAGGTAGCCTAAGCATCTACAACTCCTCAGTGTTCATGCCCTCAGTGATTCGGCACCACTGTGACCACACCAACCAGAAACAACCGGAGCGGGGCAGGTTTGCTTTGGCTCACAGTTCCGGGGGTCTCAGGGCCTCATGGAAGGGAAGGCAGGCAGACAGGTAACATGGCAGTAACAGCACATGGAGGAAGCTCAAGATCCTCATGTTTAACTTGACTGGATTCAGAATCACCTAGGAACACATCTCTGGGCAGCACCGTCCCATAGGCTGGAGTCCTGGACAAAACAAAAAGGAAGAAATAACAACAAAAAAGTGGGCTGGACATCAGCATTCCTCTCTCTGCTTCCTGAATTTGACACAACATGACCAGCCACCTCACCCGCCAATTATCATGCCTCTCCTTCTCAAACTGATTCGAAATAAACCCTCTCCCCTGAAGCTGCCTTTGTCAGGAAATCTCTCACCAGCAACAAGAAACCAACAACAGCTGTTCAAAGCATGGCGGACTAGGAAGCAGGGTCTCATTCAACAGCTTACTGAGCTCTCCCAGTGTTTCAGGCCTGGCTCTGAGCAAGCTCTGGACCACAGCTGCCACGGATGACAGCTCTGTTACTACAACAGCATCTGGTACAAGCAGAGGGACTTCAGGATGCTCAAGAGGAACACCTAAGCTTGGCTAGGAGGAGGCAAAGCAGTCCTGGAAGCCATCCCAGAGAAAGCGACACCAAGTGAAGTCTCAAAGATAAAGAGGGATTAGCTGATGAGGGGATGAAGGATGTTTGAGGAAGAGGACCCTGTGCAAACAGAAGCACCAGAGACGCCACCGTCCCCAATGGAGTAGTCACCTAAAGGTGGGCATGGGGGTCTCACGTGAAGGAGGTCTTGGGGGATGGCTGCGTGAAGAAGGAAAAGAACATTCCAGAAAGGATAACGCAATACACACAAAGATGCAGAGGCACCTTGGAAGATGCATGAGTGACAAAAATAATCAGGAAGAGGGCACAACAGCTCCTCGGGGTGATCAATGTCACTCTTAATAGCTTCAAGTGAAAGAGACAGAAAAACCAGAAGAGAGGAAAGCACTATCCTTTGAATCTTAAATGCCCCCCAAAGGTCTCTAGTGTGGTACTGTTTGAAAGCAGTGAAAACATTAAGAGGTGGGCCATAGTAGGAAATCTTAAGGCCGCTGAGGTCGCAGCCAGTGAATGAACTGTAGGGCGCTGACTAATCCCTCTTTCACACGCCAGACACGCAGTCAACAGTTTTGTTCCTCCGTACGTGCCCCACCAGTGCTACCAAGCACCAGAACAGGGACCTGCATTTGTGCAGGTAAAGCAGAAGGATGGTAAATTTGAATTCAGCCTGAGCAACGTAGTAAGACACTGTCTGGAAGGAAGAAAAAATGTGTTTTAAAATAAAAAAGGGAGCTCGAGAGATGCTCAGAAGCTGAGTGCACACTGCTTTTGCAAAGGACACAAGCTTAGTTCCCAGCACCCACCTCGGTGGCTCATAACCACCTTTAACTCTAGACGCAGGGAACCTGATGCCCTCTTCTGGCCTCCAAGGGCAAGTGCATTTGGATGCATATACCTATAAACAAATAAAAACATACAGAATTAAAAATAAAATAAATATTTTTTTGAGAAGAGGTTTCTTTCTGTAACAGCTCTGGCTGTTCTAGAACTCATTATGTGGAACGGGCTGGCTTCAAACTCAGAGATCTGCCTGCCTCTGCTTCCCAAGTGCAGGGATTAAAGGCATGCACCACTACCACCTGGCAAAATAAATCTTTTCTAATAAGACAAAAACAAATGAATAAAATCATGAGCCAAGATAAATCATTTTTCTTTGTAAGCTGAATCTCAGGTACCTGCTATAGTAAAGAAAAGCTGACTAACAGAGAGAAGAGAAAGAACAGGGTCAAAGGGCAGATCCTCCACCAAGGCAATAGCTGTCTATCAGACAGGGATGCCTTCTACAAGAAAGACCAATGGTATGAAGGACTGACAACACAGACTTCCAGACAGACTTCAGTTCGACTCTCTGCCCTTCACTATCTGGGTGACCATGGGCAACATTTAACCAGGTTAGGACCCCCATCTTTCACCTGGGAAATCAGGAAGCACAAACAAAGCAAACCTCACAGCTGCAGAAAGGATGAAGGGCCAAAATATATGCAAATAACACAACCCAAAACACAGCCTGTGGAGAACCAGAGACAGGCAGCAGAGGGGAGCCGCCGACCTTGGTGTTGGTGTGAGCAGATTTGGTTAGTTAGGTGCAGGTACTGAAGGAGATGATCAAATGCACACTCACTCCAGGGTCTCTGGCCTGTCCCTGAAAGCGAACAGAGACAGGAGTGCTCTACGTGAGCCTGGGAGAGGACACGGTTGCTGGGAGAAGGTGAAGGGCCCGCTGTTGAAAGACAGTCCTCCAGGAGTCTGGCCCTCTCTCACATCTTGTGAATGGACAGACTCTGCCTCTTTTTCCCTGAGCCTCTTCTCAGGGTTGTGTTTATAAGAAGCAACCTTGAAGGATAGAGTACTACCTCCCTCTAGGATAAAGAGCAGTCTTATGTGCGACTTTCTTTATAAGCAGTAGGTCGTCCATCCCCCCACCCGTCCCCCCGTTTCCCCTTCCAAGCTTCATGTTTCTCAGCTACGACACAAACCATCTGCACATGAAGCATCCATCTGGGCCCACCACACTGCCCCTGCAGGACTCGGAGTCAAGAAGAACTTATGCAAACATGCTGATGCTCCTGCTGCTTGCTCTGCCCGAGCAGTAAAGTCCTAGGTCTCTAACCTCAGAGTCTCGTGTCTTCTGTCAATAACCGTGAACCAATGGCGAGTTCAGTTATTGGCTAACAAACTAGAAAGAACCGGAGCCATCCGTGTGTGCCTGGGGTGAAAGCCATGAGTATAAACGGCAAAGCCTACAGTAAGGATTCATGCATTACCTGTGTGTGCCAACACGTAAGACAGGGTGAGAAAGAGGACTCCAAACGACTCAAGGAAACACACATGAGGCTCTGGGTTCCAACTCCAGCAAGAGGAAACCCACAAAGTAGCTCCTTTTCAGTCTTTCCCTATAGCTCAAGTTGTTCCAGAGTTCACTGCGTAGCCTCAAACTTGCTATCCTCCTGCCTCAGCATCCCAAGTGCTGGCATTACCATCATGCCAGACTAGAAAGAAGTTTCGACCAAAACTGAGTAGGCAACAGGATCAGATGCTGCATCTTCGTAAGATGAAGACTGAAAGTAGCCACTGAATTTAGCAACTAGGTCACTAGGCAAGACACATTTCAATGATGTGCTGTGGCCAGAAGCCAAACGGTAGTAGAAGGAGGATGGATGGAGGTAAAGAAGTTGGAACGATAAATACAAGGCATTTCGCAAAAGCGTGGCTGAAACGGAGGGCAGGAGGGGGAGCCCTGGTGGCAGGAGCAGGTGGGGGCCAACTCAACTTGTCTCAACAAATGGAGGAGGTCTGAATGATCATTTCTGAGAACAAGCCCAGAAAGGGAAAAACTGGAGGAGGATGGATTCAGAGAAAAAATGACCTCAAATCCTGGGTGAGACTGCATCTGCCCCAATCATACATCCTCAAGCAGGTCAAACTGTTGGCTCAAGGTAGGGTCTGTCTCCAGGGAGGTGGTGTCTACTCTCTCCTGAAAGGGGACCTGCCAACAGGGGCCCGTCATGGCTACTTTCCTGCAGAGATGAGACACAGGGGTACAAACAGGACTCTCAAGACACCAATAGAAGACACATAGAAGCACCAGAAATTTGGAATGCTATGCTAAGCTGTGAGGCCGGAGTAGTGTTCTCAAAGAACGTCAGAGAGTGGGCTGTGCAAAAGAAATTTGGGGAGACCCAGGACCTCCTCAGGATACTCGGGGTTGGCAGAGAAGACACCTCTGGGAGGAAGGAAAATAATTCTTCTACGACACCTCCGCTTGGAGCTCATCTACTGATAAGAGTCTCTGCTTGGCCAAACTTGTCAGGCTCCATCATGTAGGTCCTTGTGTAATCCAGTTTCTGTGAAGCATTTTCTCCAGTCGGTTCAGCTCGGGATGGCTGATCACCTCAAAGTCTGATGACACTTTCACCCTCTCCCAGCCTGCAGGGGACATTGACTCATTGTCTTCAGTGATTCTGTTCGGCCAGTTGGGCCAGGGTCCCCTTCCACGTCGGGCTTCCACGTAGGCATTTTCCATCCATCAACACCCACCCGGCTGTTTCGCTGTAAACTCAGAATCAAGCTAGGTCTCTCTCCCCTAATGCCAAGCCCTGAGGATGGCCCTAGCTAACAGGTGTCATTACAAAATTTTTCCGCGGGACTGAGAGACGGCTCAATTGGTAAAAGTACTTGCAAGCAGGACCTGAGTTTGATATTCATAACCTATTTTTTTAGAAGAACTAAATTTTTAATTGATTTAAATTTTAAATTTAAATTTAGCTGGGCAGTGGTGGCCTACGCCTTTAACCCCAGCCTTGGCCGGGAGGCGTCGTCAAAGGCAGGTGGATCTCTGAATTCAAGGCCAGCCTGGTCTGCAGAGTGAGTTCCAAGACAGCCAGAGCTACACAGAGAAACCCTGTCTCTAAAAATCCAAAAATAACGAAATTAATTTTAGATTTAATTTAAAAATAAAAATGCCCCACACCTTTATTCCCAGCACCCAGAGTCAGGTGGATTTATGAGTTCAAGGCCAGCCTGGTCAACGTAGGAAGGTCTAGGTTAGTCAGGGACAGTGTAAAAAAAAAAAAATCTAGTGTCGTAGCGTTCATCTAACAATCCTAGGCTAGGAAGGAGGAAGACAGGTGGATTCCTGTGGCTCATTGGCCAACCAGCTAGCTTCAGACCAGTGAGAAACCTTGTCAAAAAAAACAAAACAAAACAAACGAAAAAAAAAAAGAGAGAGAGAGAGAGACAGCGACAGCGACAGAGAGAGGCAGGCTTTCCTGATATGGCTCACCAGGTGGTTGACTTCAGCCCTCTCGCCTAAAGCAGACCTAAAGAAACAAGAGCTAAGAAAACTGCGGCCCCTCCTACAGCTAAGAACTGGGCAGCCATAGGCCTCCCAATATGCCTTATTCAAGCACCATGGGTTCCCAGGGAGTTGGCAGAAGAACCCCGGGATGAAGGCAACAGGAACGTACAACTAGAAGCCACATTTCCGCTTTGTGGCAGCAGGACGACCTAAAGGGCCCCTCTCGCAGACAGAAAACAAGAATGCAGAATTCCCACCAAAAAAAAAAAAAAAAAAACCAGTTCGGAGGATCCGGGTCTAAGTCCGTGCAGCAGCCGCCATCACCGACCAGCACGCACCCTAAAAGCCACCGGGGCTCCAAGGAGTGAACATCGGAACCACCCAAGACGCTAGCTAATTGTACATTTCCAGGCCCAGAGAAGAGACTCATTCAGTGGGTGCCGAGCCAGGCCTGCGAGGCTGCTCTTCCAGCCAGCGCCTCGGACAACCCGAGTACTGGTTCCCTGGGGAGCCCACTCGGAGAAACCAGACTCTGGGGCGAACAGGGTCTCCAAGTTCCAAAGTTTCCCCCTCTCGCTAGGCGCACCGACCTCCTCCCACCACCACCACCACCACCCCGGGACCTCACCCGCACGCGCGGTCACGGAAGCGTCGGAGAACTCAGTGATGGACTCAACGGCCTTTGCCAGGGCGCCGCGGGCCCCTAAAAGCGCAGCACGGTGGCCGGCAGGGGGCGCTGCAGCAGGGACAATGCAGGGCGGGGGCGCCGGGCACCCCCAGCCCAGAGCCGCGCGGCGGGAAGGAGCGGGCGCCGGGGAGGGCGGGAGCCACGCGGCGGCGGCGCGAGGGCGGGGCAGCCGGCGGGGCGGGGCGGGGCCGACGGGCTGGCGGCGAGCGCCGGGAGAGCGCGCCGGCCGGGCCAGCGAGGAGGGAGGAGCGAGGGGAGCGCGGGCCGCAGCCGCCCCCGCCCCGCGCCTCCCGCGCCTCCCGCGCGCAACAGTTCCCCTAAAGTTGCCGCCGGGGAGGCGCGCAGCCGGCGGGGGACGCGGCCTTGGCCCGGCGCGCGCAGCCCCGGCGGGCGACGGGATGGGCACTCGGCAGACCAAGGGCAGCCTGGCGGAGAGAGCCAGCCCGGGCGCGGCGCCCGGCCCCCGCCGCGAAAGACCCGACTTCTGGGCGTCGCTGCTGCTGCGTGCCGGGGACAAGGCGGGGCGCGCGGGCGCTGGGCTACCCCCCTACCACCGGCGGGTCGGCATGGTCCAGGAGCTGCTGCGGATGGTGCGCCAGGGCCGGCGGGAGGAGGCGGGGACGCTGCTGCAGCACCTGCGCCAGGTGAGCGCGGAGAGGGGGAACGGGGGGGGGGGGCGCGGCCGCTACCTGAGCGCCCCGCCCCTGCGAGGTGCGGCGTGGCGGGGGGGGGGGGGGGGGGACACAAGAGCGCCCGGCGGCACCGCCCAGGGTCCCCCTTCGGCGGGGGATGGAGCGATGTGACAGCAGGTGCCTCCGTGTTCCCGCTGAATTTGGGGCCTCAGGCTAGGGCGAGGAAGGCTGACCCGGCGAGGCTGGTAAAGGGGACCTGTTGGACCATTGTCCCTGCTCCTTTCCTCCACAGGTCCCCAGGGATAGTTGGTGAGAGAGGATACAGAAATGCACGCCTGGTCTGGGCCAGGGCTCTCTTCTTCCTTTCTGCCCACTACCGATCACCCTCTTCCAAGGGTCCCCAGGGTTGCGCAGTTTTCTGCTAAAGCCGGCTTCTGAGGCATGTCCCTCGGACTGGTAAGATTTCCTAGGTCGTTGGCCACCTGGTGATATTTTGTATTGTAGTTTCACCTTCCCTAACTTTGGCTGGTCCTGGCAATGAGCTCCTACCGAATTCTTGGCCGGAATGAAGCTAGGCTTGGTTTCTTGACCAGCAGGAACGGAGGCTGCCTGTGCCTCAGCCTTGTCCTCACCACTGGTTAGGGGCAAGCTAGAGATCTGGTCTGTTCCCTCAGTTCAAGGCCTGATGCTGTCACCCGCCTCTCAGTTTTTGTTTTTCTTTCTCTGTTTCTTTTGGGGAAGGCCATAGCCTGTACTATAGGGTCTTGTTGAGTGGCAGGGGCGGGAGGGCGCATAGTTTCTCTGCAGAACAGTAATGAAATTGCTTTGGTCTGGCTTTGTGGCCCAGACTCACAGAGACCCTGTATTTTTGAAGGACCCCAGTAGTCTGCTGCCTATAGGGGAGGGAGAACCTCAGCTGACCTTTGTGAGGTTTTCCCATTACTGATGGAAGAGGCTGTAGGAACGAACAACTTCCTGGGAGGAGCTTCCAGAATCTCTAATTGGATCCACATCTCCCTGGATTCTGTACCATGGCTTCCCTCACACCCGTATGTTTCTCTGGAGTTTGTTCCTAAGGTGTGTACGGCGGCGAAACAGAAGGAAGTAGAGGAGAGGGCACTTGGGAAGATGTAAGGCTTCCACCTTTGCCTCTGCTTTCCCCAACAACGTCCACAGCGATGCCCCAGAGGCTGCTGGAGCCTCAGGTACTCTTCCTGGGTTGAATCATCAAAGAAAGATGACATTCTACACCACATAACTTTCGTGATGTGTGCTTCTTTGTCTTTTGGAAAATTAGAAGCCAACCTTGTATGGCCTGCATGGTCACTCTGTTGCTTTCACACAGAAAATGGATTTTTCCAGACCATCGTAAACCATTTGCACAATAGTCAGTAAGAGGGTTGTACAGATCCCATGCTGTTTCCCCGGTCCTGGGAATACCACTCTGACGAATAGGAAAGCCTGGAAGGAGCAAGCCCTGATGAGAAGCCCACCGGAGGAGGTTGATATTCTGGGTCTCTGGGAGAATCACACATTGCATTGTGGGAACCGGGGCGTCTCCCTTTAGGGTCTTCTGCTGGTGTGCCTCTGGCTCTCTGGCACCTCTCCAGCCACAGACCTGGGAGGGCTAAAGGGAGGAGGCCGGGTTAATTAGACTTCCCTCTTCTCTGGGGCTCTCTTGCTCTGTGGCTGACAATGAGGGCCGTGGACCTGGAGAGCCACCCTGTGTTGCCTGTAATGTGGGATCAGGGCCCTTCCAGGAAATGGTCATTGGCCTTAAGCATGTGGGAGTGGAGCTCAGGGATGTCCAAATGCCCGTGACAAATGAGAAGGGTGTTTTCTAGGACCCTGAAACCAACTAGCAGAATGTCTAGGCAGATCTGTGCTGCAGTCTGAAGTGGCTCTCCCCTCAGAGCCTATTTTCATCTTAGTTCATCTTCGTCTTCTCCTGGCAGGAGCCAGCGCAGCGTTGACCACCCCCATGCCCATAGTACTTTCTGCTATAGTTGTTAACATGTTGGCACTAAATGTTTGGGTTTAGGAGTTCTTTTGAAACAAGGTCATATATGTCCCAGGCCGGCCTCTAACTCAATGTGTAGCCAGTGATGACCTTGAACTTCTGATCCCCCCAGCCTTCACCCCAAAGTGCTGGGATTATAAGCATGAACCACCACACCCGGTTTCTTCGGTACTGGAGATGGAGCTCTGGGCCTTGTGTATACCAGGCAAACATTCTTCCAATTGAGCGACTCCCTAGGGGTTGACACGGGATTTCTGTGTGTTCAGAGCGTAAGCAGGGTTAGAGAAAGCGTTGGTCTGTAACTCCTGCGATTCTCAAGGAATTGAGTCCTTGATCTTTCTGAGACTCCAGAAGAGCCTCTCCTCGAACAAACGCACCTGACCTTGCAAAGACTTTGAAGAGGTGCCCAGAGCCTGTGAGCACCACCTATAGAGCCCACGTTTGCAGTCACGGCTGCTGTCTCAGACCGCTGTTTCCCCGGCTTTGTGGTTCGCATATAGAAATAATCCAGAAGCATGTGTGACAGGCAGTTCACTGTAAGCTGGTGCATTCTGGCTGCCGGTGCCACTTGGCGGACTCGGGGAGTGTTTCCTCGCTTGGAGACTCTCCAGCTTATCTATCCTCTGTGGCAAGGCCTCACACACCGACTAAAGGGTGCAGGCAGCGTGCCAGGCAGTTGCCTTGAAGGATCCCAGAGCCATCCCTTCCCTTTAGGAACACTGTGAACTGAGAAAGGGCTGGGGCCAATGATCATGGCTTGCCTTTGGTCCTCAGTCTGCTGTGACCTTGGGCCCAGTGGTAACCTCCTGAGTTGTGTTTCCTCATTTCCCAAAGAGGGATCCTGGGTACTGAGCAGAGCAAGTGCGATCAAGTGTGTGAAATTTTGTTGGCACTGCCAATCAAGAGGTGTTCTCATGGCAACCAGGAGAATCTGGCCTACTTTGGGTATAGCTGGGCTAGGGGCAAGGTCATGTGGCCTTTCTCTTCAGGCCTAAACCTGAAGCAGTCTGGAACAGATGTCTGGGGGATGAAAGATTCCATTCCCTCACCCTTTCCCCATCACGCCCCTCACCTCGGCCTTTGTCCACCATCGCGGGTTTGGGGGCTCAGACTTGCCGTCTGTAAGGAGTCCTGGGGAAGGGATGGTTTGACGAAGGATAAATGCTGGACTACATGGAAGGTGGCATTGTCACTGTTTCAGCCCGGCAGTTTCTCTTCTATCCCCAAAATTCCAGACCGTGTTGTCCTGTTTCATGGAGCAGCAATGTAAGAGGGATTGGCATGCTACCCGCTGAGGTGGCCCGTCTCTGAGTTCAGCAGCATCTCAACTGTGTTAGTCAGATGCTGCTATGACAAAATACCCGAGGTGGTCGGTTTATGGGCAAGGATCTGTTTGGGCTCACAGCTTCAGAGGTTTCAGGTAGTGGTCATCTGGGCCTGTGACAGGGCAGTACGTCGTGGCAGGGAGTGTGTGGCTGAGGAAGCTGCTCACCTCGTAGTGACTGGGAAGCAGAATTAGAGAGGAAGGCGCCAGGGTCCCAGGACCTCCCAAGAGTCCCCACTTCTTAAAACTTCCACAACCTCCCAAGAGTACCACAAGTTAGAGACTTGTGGCCTCTGAAGATGCTTCTCCAAACCCTAGCACCCACTTCCCTGTAGGGAGAAAGTTGGCTGGTTTGGCCTACCCGAAGTCGGCAGAGCTGTTCCTCTGTTTGCCTGACTGGCCGTGAGGACCTCAGTGTGGCCTGGATTCACGTCTCTGGGTGCTGTCCAGACCAGCCTCCTATGCCCGAGAGCAGAAACCACAAACACAAACAAGAACACGGGGCTCTCAAGGGGGCTCTCAAGCGTTACACACACGTCACCGACCCAAGAGGAACTGGAGACTCCTGCCCCAGAGGTGGAACAGTGACCTTTGAAGGTCATCTTTTCCCTTCTCTATCCCTCCTGGGAGAATCTCTAGGGTGTGCCCGAGGGAAGGCCACCGTCCGTTGAGCAGGCAGGTCCCCTCTACGACCTCTAATTCTTCCTCTGCCTGGAATGTAGCTCCTTGTTTCCACACGTGCTCGCCACCTTCACAGGCCCCCTTCTTGGGCACGTCAGCCCACGCTCTGGGGTCTAGTCAGCACCCCAGGACCACCATAGTGTGAGGTGTTTAGTCACCTGTAGCCCTCCCCCGTGACCTTTTGTTTGTCAGACAAGGTCATATGCTTACTGAGAGACCCACCATCACCAGTATTCATGACACAGTATTAAAAACCAGCAGGCTGCCGGGCAGTGCAGCCCACGTCTTTAATCCCAGCACTCAGGAGGCAGAGGCAGGTGGATCTCTGGAGGCCAACCTAGTCTACAAAGCAAGTTCCAGGCAGCCTGGGCTATGCACAGAAACCCAGTCTCCAAAAAACAACAAAAAAAAAAAGAAAGAAAGAAAGAAAGAAAAGAAAGAAAGAAAAAGAGAAGAAAGAAAACCTTCAGGTTTGTGATAGTCCTTACTGAATCTTTGTGCTATAGAGGTATGTGGATAGACTGTCACCACAGTGTATCCTCAGACATCACGTGGATGCCCTGTTTCAGCCCTGCATCTGCTTACCAGACTGCCAGTATGGCTGTCAGATCCTGTGCATTTGCTTGTAGGTTTCTGGGCATGTCAGTTTCTAGGAAATCCCCAATGGCCATAAGCTTGACTGTGCCTGGCATCCTGCCAGGCTGAGGTGTTCTTGGAGAGAAGAGTGGCATGGTGCCCAGCCTTGGCACCACAGGATCCCATTGGGCAGGTGTAGTCTGGGGCCTCTGCTGAGGTGGCAGGCGGAGAGCAAAGCCTGCTGGGATGGTGCCCCCCCCCCCTTTCCTGGCTGGCTCCTGCAGAATTGCATATATTCCCTTCACAAAGGAGCCTTCCTTTTTGAACTCTACCAGTCTGTCTGGGCTGCATGCAGGCACTCCCAGGGATGAAGGTACAAAGGCTTCTGATGGGACCTGCTTTGTAGCTTTC